CATTATCCTTACAAGCAGAAAGAAGTCCCCTAAAACTTTACAGAGCTCCAACAGTATGAAGCTACCCTATGTGAGGGCCCTACCCACTTATGGCTGGTCTGAATTGAGATTTACTACAAGGGTAAGTGTCAAATATACACTGGATTTTGAAGTCTTAGAGGAGAAATATAAAATACAAAATATTTCATTGATAACTCTTAATATTGCTTACATGTTGAAATGACAATACTTTGGATATGTTAAGAGAATTATATTATTATTAAAGTGGATTTCACCTCTTCTACTCCTATAATGCAGCTGATAGAATAATTTAAATCACACATGTGGTCCTCATTTGTGCTAGTCCAAAGAGGGAGGTGGCATTTCTGATACCATTCCATTGCCTGATTACCCACATGGAACATTCTTCAACCCTTTTTCCTATGCAGTTTCTTATTCCAGCTAAAAGAAATGAAACTGAATTGGTTACTTAGAAAAACGGGCTTATAAGTTTCTGGTAGAAAATGTCAAAGGAGGTACTCACAGTTCCTTTCAAGGACATCTTTAAAATCAATGGTGTAGGAGACCCACTGGCGAGTCAGGAAGGATTCTGTGAAACCCCAAATGCTGATATTCATGGACCGAGCTCCAGGTTCTGAGGCCAGGCCGGTAAAGTAGATGGGCTCCCTGGTGAACGTGTAGGTCTGCCAGCACTGGCCCTCGTCTGTGGAGAACCTGAAACCGCAGTCGGAGGACAGCTGTGACAGGCAATCCACACGTACGGCAGCAGCAGGAGACCACTCTAGCTGTCTGGTCCCAAACCAGAGAAAACCCTCAGATTTAGGGATGGCTTACTGACTGATGACTGTATTAATTTTTAATGCCTACAGTTAAAAGGGTAGGTAAAAGGGATTCATTCAAAGAGTACAGAAGAAAATGCCTTCATAAAATTTTTCACAGGAAAAAATGGACTTCTAAACAAACAAATTATTTTATATAACTTATACTTAAGGACTCATCTTCCATCCAAAGTGCTTAAACACTTCTGTAAGATTCTTGTGGAGAGAAAGAAGAATATTTTTAAGAGGTGACAGAAAGTGTTAGCTAGAGGAAGTCAGAAGAAAAAGCACAGCCATTGAATGTGGGTTGCAATCCCTCCAAGAACGATCCCTACAGTTCTGTAGAATGCACACATCTGAGTCAGGGTCTGTAGGCAGCCCCCCACCCCGCGGATCCGCCCCACAACCAAAAAGCGTCCCACAGCTGCCCTCTCTGCCGATAGAGCGGGGGAGCGGAGCTCATGCATACTTAATCACATTGATAGGGCGGCTGCTGTGCTCAATGGCCACAATGATGCCTCCGGAATCCAGGATGGTGTAATAGTGGGGTCCTTCCAGCATCTTCGCCCAGGAGTAACCCCCATCATCTGATATGTACACATCCGGGATCATCACTGAGATGGCATCCCCTACACTACCTGCAACACAATCCACCATCTTATCAGCCAAAATCAGCAATGAAACAGAGAGGATTTACCGCCGAGAGAAGAATTTTCAATGAATTTACTCTGATGATTTCCCATCATGCCTCTTTTAATAGAAAAAAGGGACCACAAAACTTGGGAAAGGGAGAAGTCATGTTTCTCTCTCTAAGGAAAACCCGAAGTATCAATATCATGTAAGAGACTCTACGAAGGATGGGAGAAGTCCTGTCTGGTGGTTTTCTTACGTAACTCAAGGCTGCGACCGAGTCTCAGCGTGCTCAGCTGACGGTTCTCGGGGGGACGAGGGGAGGGCTGCTTACCGTGGGCAATGACTATGCCGACAGCCTTAGGCTCTGAGAGTGGGGCCATTGGAACGTTTAGCTTCTGGGAGATGCTGTAGGAAGCGTGAATATGAAGGCTGCACTGTGAAAAGAAACCAAAGCTTAGATTAAAACCAAAGGTGTAATTTTCTACTCATCTTACAGAGCCTTCTGAGGAAGCTTTGAACTGAGCCCAGACTTCAGTGGGATACTCTTTAAAAAAAAGTTGTGGTAAAATACACAAACCATAAAATGTACCATCTTAATCACTTGTGTCTAAGGGTACAGCTCAGTAGGATTAAGTACATTAACAATGTTGTGCCACCATCAGCACCATCCACCTCCAGAGCTTTTTCATCTTGCAAAATTAAACTCTACACCCATTAACCAATAACTCCCAGTCCCCCTCCTCCCAGACCTCCAGACCTTCCAGAAAGGGAACCACCATTCCACTTTCTGGTTCTATGAATTTGACTATTCTAGGTACCTTACAGACTGGAACCGTGTGAGTCCTTTTACGACTGGCTTATTTCACTGAGCATGTCCTTGGGGTTCAACCATGTTGTAGCAAGTGTCAGCATTTCCTGCCTTTTTAAGGCAGAATATTATTCCATTGCGTGTATATATCACATTTGGCTTATCCATTTATCTGTCAGTGGACACTTGGGTTGCTTCCACCTTTTGGCTCTTGTGGATTATGTTGCTATGCACATGGGCATACAAATAGCTCTTCGAGACCCTGTTTTTAATCCTTTTGGATGTATACCCAGAAGGGGGATTGCTGGATCATGTGGTAGTTCTACGTTTAATTTTTTGAGGAAGCACCATACTATTTTCCAGTCACTGCACTATTTTTCATATCCACCAACAGTGCACAATTCTAATTTCTCCACATCCCTAGCAACACATGTTATTTTGTTTTGTTTTTGGTAGTAGCCATTCTAGTGTGTGTGAGGAAATCTCTCCCTGTGCCTTTGATTTGCATTTCCTTAATAATTAGTGCTGTCAAACATCGTTTCATGTGCTTTTTGGCCATTTGTGTATTTTCTTTTTTTTTTTTTTTAAAGATTTTATTTATTTATTTGAGAGAGAGTGAGAGAGAGAGCGCAAGAGGGGGTAGGGTTAGAGGAAGAAGGAGACTCCCCACCGAGCAGGGAGCCTGATGTGGGACTCGATCCCAGGACTCCGGGATCATGACCTGAGCCGAAGGCAGTCACTTAACCAACTGAGCCACCCAGGAGCCCCATTTGTGTATTTTCTTTAGAGAAATGTCTATTCAAGTCCTTTAACCATTTTTAATTTGGTTTGTTTTTTTTTGTTGAGTTATAGTCCCAGTAGGATATTCTTGATTCCAAAATGCATTAGTATATTTGGGAGCAAATTATGCAATTATTTTCTCATGTGCAATGTCTTAGTTTGTTTTATTCCTGCATTATACCGAAGCCTCTGATCAATATTTATTTGTTTTTATTTTTACTTTTTTTTTTTAGATTTTATTTATTCATTTGACAGAGAGAGACACAGC